GGCGGCGGCGCGCTAGGGTTCCGGCCCGAGGAAGACGACGACCGACAAGCGGGACCCACCAGTCAGCGGCAGCGAGGGCGCGCGCGCGGCGGCTGACTGGGCCGGCTGGGCCGAGGAGAGAGAAGAGAGGTTTTGGGCCGACTTTCGGCCCAAAGCCAAAAGAAGACTTTTTAAAACCTTTTCAATTAAAATTATTTCTTAAATGCAATTCCATTTATTAAAAATACTTCCTTAGCTCAAATAAATCCCAGAAAAATCTAGGAATTATAGAATTAAGCAAAGTATTTAATGAAATTTTATCTGGGCCCATTTTATATTGGAATTTATTAATTAAAATTAGATTTTCTTTTCAAGACTTTTAAAATTAATTCTAGAAATTCCATTTAAACAACAATTTATATATTTTGAATTTTCAGGGTGTGACAGAAAGCCATTCCTTGGTCCAACAAATTATATCGTGGTCGACTTCAAGGATCTTTTCGACCTCTATAGGCTCCGAGCGGTGGACACAAGCCTCCTTAAGTGCTACTCCTTGTAAGTATTGTCGCCCAACTCAATCTGGTAATAACAATCGGTTTAACTTGCTTACAAGATCGTTTATCCTGTGTGTAGGTTAAGTTGGCAATGGTGTCAGAAGCATGCACCGGAAGTTGCCTTCCTTGATCCACAAGTGGTCACTGTCACAAATCTCCAAAATGACCGTCAAGGAATGGTCAACTACATCTACGACACCTTGTGGTCCCGCCGAGACAAGGAGTACATTATGTGCGCCTATAATCAATAGTAAGTGTGTTAGCTAAATATACACAACAGCATGACACATTCCTTGAGTACTTAATTAACTTTCACTATATTAATGCCGCAGTGCCCATTGGATCCTTCTGGTCATAACACCTAAGTGGAGTGCATGTCACTACCTGAACTCCAGAATTGATAAGAACGCATATGATTGGACCCCAATTCAACTAGCGATAGATGAAGCGCGGGCCCAATACGTGCAAAGAGGAGGCCTCAGGAAGACAGGACATGACACCCTCATCCACAAAAAAGACTTCCCGGTGAAGCAACAAATAGGTGACCAGTGCGGATTCCATGTATACCACAACATGCGCCTTCTGTATAGAGAAAAGGTGAAGACTTTGGCTGAGTTTGAGGTCGGTGGTCTCAATTGTGATAGACTAACTACATTTTAGTACTTATATATGATCGATCAACTAATCTGGAATTATGACAATGTAGGGCACAATAACCAAGTCTCTGCCTACCAGCTTTGAGGAGGTTCGCGAGGAGATAGCCAGCTTCATCCTCCGCGAAATAATTAACCCCAAAGGAATGTTTAGGCTTAAACTAAAATGATAAACAATGCTGAACTTTTATGTTTAGGAAATGATGAACACTTATTATGCAACTGTGATGATGTAACTGGATGTTTATATTTATGTATATATTTCATATGTTTATGTTAAGACTTGCTAAATAAATATTTGTTCCAATTAACTCGGTTTTGCAGGTGAAACATGATAAATATTTGAATGGATGTGAAATATGTGAATGGATGTGAAATATGAGATGGCTGTGAATGTGTGGTTGTGTGAAATATGTTGATGTCTGTGTATGTGAATGCATATGTATATGAATGGGTGATGCTGGGGAGCTGGGGATATTGGATATCTGTGTTTGTTTCTGTCATTTTTATAGCGGGCATGGCTAGCAAAGGCCTGAAGCTAGCCAAAAAACAAAATTTATTTTTTTTGTGTATTATAGTCATCTGTGACGGGCCATAACTAAATGCCCGAATGAGATGAGATCATCTGTGACGGGCTCTAGTTTATACCCGATTGAGATCAGTAGTCATCTGTGACGGGCTCTAGTTTAGGCCCGATTGAGGTCAGTAGTCATCTGTGACGGGCTATAGTTTAGGCCCGATTGAGGTCAGTAGTCACCTGTGACGGGCTATAGTTTAGGCCCGATTGAGATGAGTATCATCTGTGATGGGCTCTAGTTTAGGCCCGATAAAGGTTAGTAGTCATCTGTGACGGGCTCTAGTTGTGGCCCGATAGAGATAGGTCATCTGTGACGGGCTATAGTTTGACTGGTCGTCTGGGTCAAAGCTATTTTTGACGGGCTTTACTTAGGGCCCGATTGAGATATATTCATTCGTGACGGCTATTTGCCCGATTGAAATGACTCTTCACATCAGTGACTTCTAGCCTGTGACGGACGCTGTGCCCGATTGAGATGGGGCTTACCGCCCGATTGAGATGAGGGTTTCCGTTCTAGTGCACGGTTACATACTTGGAAGAACATGAAGCGCAGATCGATCGGACGAGAGCATCAACTGATCAGACAGTTGCGTCCGAAAACAACCACATTACTCGTTTCAACGGATGGTTCTAGAATCATATTACCCTCGGACAACACAAGTGAAATCCTGACGTGGTGTTCATATTGTCTTCCATGGGATGTTAACACTGGGAAAGGATCAGGGTTTACGATTCCGACAGGCCCTTCCGTTTCGGGCACTGGTGGAATTCGGAATTTCGCGAAATTTGGTGGAAAATCGGTAAATTCCGAACAAATTTTATAAACCAAAATTTGAATACAAATTCTCTGAGTTTGCCGACAAGTTATCGAAAACCGGTCGGTTTTGGCGAAATTCCGATCGAAATCATCGAAAATTCGATCAGTGATTTGTTTTCCTTTTTTTAATTCTTTATTCTTTTCTTTCCTGATGTAAGTTTTAGTAAATACACACAATACATAATTTTTTTCGAAAATTTATATCCCAATAGGTACTATGAATATCATAGTATTTATAATATTTTATTTTATTTTTTTTCTTTTTTTATCAATTCAATTTTGAATTTGAATGAAACTTCTCGAAATCTCATACGGTTTCTACTTTCGAGCCTCGTCGAAACGTCGAAATTTCGCGAAATCCGGTCGGATTTCATCATAATCATAAACCTGGAAAGGATATGACATCAATCAAGTCATCTTTTACACTACCAAGCAAGACGACAGAAGCAACATGCAGAGTGGATTTGGTTTAGATGCAGTCACAAACTCACAATAGTGACCACAACTTAAGCAGTAGCAGTACACACATTGGATACAAACCAGATGGCACAGATCACGCAGTGTACTGTCCACAGCACTGTAGCAATAAATACTATAGCAGGATTAGTTGATTCCTTTTGTTTTCTAGGTGCAGTGGGGAACAAGACACATCTTCAGTTTTGTCGGTTATTGTGTTGCTTCACATACGGTGGTTTCCTTTTCATTGACACTGTTTGTGTACTCCCTCCGTCCTAAATATCTGATGGCATTGACTTTTTTAAACATGTTTGACCGTTCATCTTATTCAAATACTTTTGTGAAACATGTAAAACTATATATATACATAGGAAAAAAATTAATAATTACTTAATTTTTTTATAAGACATGGTCAAAAATGTTTTAAAAAGTCAACGGCGCCAAATATTCAGTGATGGAGGGAGTATTTCTTAATGGTGGTTTCCCCATTGATTGGTTATAAGTCGTTTTCTGGGATGGCAGTAGGACGACTATCAATCAGAATGATAAAATCAAGAAAATTTTGTTTTTAATATTTCTAAATATCAGTAACAATAGCCGTGTAACGTCTGGGTTGACGACTTGTCCTATTGGTCGGTGGTGATAGTTTACAAATGCTTTATTAATTAACAGTTATATAGTTTCCTGACCCAACGGAAGGAGATAAGCAATCTATCTATTAGCATCAGATAAATAAAATCTAGTATAGCATCGGATCAAAGGCTGCTGTCACAAAGCAAGGCTGCGTTCGGCATACCAAGTTCCCAACTTGTCTCGTTTTTCGCGTGCACGCTTTTCAAACTGTTAAACGTTATGTTTTTTACAAAAAGTTTCTATATGAAAGTTGCTTAAAAAAATCAAATTAATCCATTTTAAAAAAAAGCAAATAATTAATTAATCACGCGCTAATCGCTGCTTTGTTTTGCGTGCCGGGAAGCGAGGGTTCCCAACCCTCACTCCCGAATGCAGCCTTAGTGGTGTCACTCATTGAAAAATTAAAAGGGTACCTAGGCCGTGTTTAGATTCAATTTTTTTTTCAAACTCCCAACTTTTCCATTACATCAAAGGTTTGGACACATGCATGGAGCATTAAATAAGGACAAAAAAAAATCAATTGCACAGTTTGCATGTAAATCGCGAGACGAATCTTTTGAGCCTAATTACACCATGATTTGACAATGTGATGCTACAGTAAACATTTGCTAATGACGGATTAATTAGGCTTAATAAATTCGTCTCGCAGTTTACAGGCAGAATATGTAATTTGTTTTGTTATTAGTCTACATTTAATACTTCAAATGTGTGTCCGTATACTTTAAAAAAATTGGCACACAAACTAAACACAACGCTAGACTAATATGGAGGTCATTGGTGTCATATGACACAACTCCATGTATGCTATCTCTGCCCCTGCTTGTGGCTACTGCCCAAGTGTGAAGGTATGTTCCATCTTCCATGTAAAGGTCTACTATGTCCAAAGCAACAGTGAGCAGCTGTTATTCTGCCCAACAGTGATTCGAAACCCAAATACAATAAAAAAAATGCATTTTCAGTGCAAAAGAAATGTTAATGTGAGGTAAAATGTTGTGATAACCACACCTGAAGAAATGAATTAACTGTGTTAAGCACAAAAAGCAGGAAACTGAAGCTGCAAATTTGAGATTATATATTCCTAGGAAGCAGCCAGTGCCTTTACCAACTTAGAAATCTGTTTTCTATGATTGTGGGGACAAACGGACTGGTGGATTGGAAACCAACGAAAAAAATGAGGCAAGAAGTGCCTTCAAGACTAAAAAGATGAAACACTTGGAACAACTTTTTTTCTTAGGGCAATTTCGTTCTTGCCCCTACTTTCATCTTCAATATTGATTTTACCTATGTTTTTTAGGATTTTCGTTTTTGCCCCTACTTTTTTAAAATTAAAGCAAATTTTACCCCTACTTTGGATGGACATGTTAACGGTGTTACATCTCTGGCGAAAAGACAATCATACCCCTATTTGATATTGAATATTTGTCTGAATGTTTATTCAATAATTGTGCATTTGCCCCCATTTTTACATTGCATTTTTCACAAACTTTTGCAAATATGACAATTTTTGATAGAACATTAAAAATTTTGACATAATATAATTTTGCGACAAATTTGATAAAATTTGTATATTTTGCAAAAGAAAAAAAAGACAGAATTTGGGCATGGTTTTTACACAGCTAACAAAAGACATGTAATAGCAATCATCACAAAATCAAGCAAATCCAAATCATGAGGTCAAAAAAATCCAATCTAGTAGCATGTTGCTTCTTCCAATTGCCAGGTTGGTGCTGCTTGCCGCAGCGTGCACCTCCGGCCGTCCGCCGCGCCCGGCCTGCTCGCCATCAGCTTGCAGCGCCCGTGAGACCTGCTCGCTGCGCGCGGCCTGTTGCTTGGCGTGCTAGCCGCCACCGCTTGGCCGGGCCACTGCCGTCGTCGCCTTCCCGCATGAAGCCGCCGATGCCTAGCTGAGACGCCGCCGCCACAAGCTCCTCACGATAAGCCGCTACCGCCTGGACAAGAGCCCATCGTCCTCTCGTCCCCTTGTCGAGCCGCAGTCGCCTGGCCTGCCTCGACACGCGCGGCCTTCTGCTCGTCACCATAGGTGGGATTGGGGAAGGCAAGGACCGGCATTGTTTGGTTATGGCTCACCAGGGGTATAAAGGTCCATCAACGAATTAAAAATCATTACTTCTTTTTTTCTCTACTTCTTCAGCTCCATAATCCCAGGTTGACTAACTTCCGTTAAAAATAGGGGTAAACGTCTACTTCATTTTCAGAAAACAGGGGCAAAAATAAAAACCTTAAAAACTAGGAGCAAAATCGATATTGGATATCAAAATAGGGGTAAGAACAAAATTATCCCTTTTTACTTCTTCTTTTTTTTCATTTACAGTTCCACCATTCTGCAACAGCTTAGCAGCGAATCTTCAGTAGAAGTCCCCGGCGAAAAAATAAAATCTTCAGTTGCGCCCATAAATTAAGACCTGCTACTGTCATTTGTTAGGCCTCATCTGTAGAACAACAATAGGGAGGATTCGAAATGCGTGAGTGAAATATTTTTAATGATAAGCAGAGTACATCCAAGAGAGCGACACAGTGAAGAGGATAAAAAAGAACATAGATACAAATTCTCCATATGATAGACAGATAGAGTACCCACATAGTGAGGGACAGAGTAAATCTTTCTTCCTCATGGATTCAGATTAGCTCGGACTGTCAGAGTGGAAGCATAATCACAGAGAGAAGGATAAAACTTAAGGTCAGTGTAGTTGCGATAAGGCCGCGGGAACGCCCAATGCTGCATTGGCACGTGTTTTCTTGAGACTTCAGAAGGATCTTATATACAAATAAGGTGGGAATAAGTTCATTCTAGGTCCCTCAATTTGTCGCCGAGTCCGAAAATCATCCCTTGAGTGCAAAACCGGGTACAACACATCCTTTAACTTACAAAACCGTGCAAAAGAGGTCCCTCGGCAGTATTGTGCCCGGTTTTGGATGACGTGGCTCCTTTGACTAGGTCTTCGTCCCACGTGGCATTGACGTGGCGCTTACGTGGCAATTCTCGATCTCAAGAAAAAAATAATAATCATGGGACCCACATGTCAGCTACACACAAAATAATAATAAATGGTGGGACCCATTTGGCCCCACATGCCATCCCTCTTCTCTCCATCCTCTCTCTCTCTCTCTCCCCTAGGCGAAGTAGGTCTGAGCGGGGTGGCCAGAGCAGGCGACGAGCGGGGCGGAACGGCCGGCCGGCGGAGCTGGGCGGGCGGTGGCCGAAGCTGGCCGGCGGAGCTAAGCGGCGGCGGCCGGAGCAAGCCGGCACATGCGACAGGCAAGGGGTGGCGGCACTGCGGCGCCGAGGGGTGACGGGCGTAGCAGAAGGGCGACGGGATGAGGCCGAGAGGACGCCGATGGCGAGGTTGACCGGCGGAGTTAGGGTGATTTCGTGTGCGGCCATCAGGGCGAGTACGCCGTCGAGGCTGTGCCCGGTGACGGACACCCGGACATTCTTGTCTTGTCACCGAAAATGGCCGACCAGCCGTGTCACCTCGCTGACGACCTGCTCCTGCGCGCTGAGATCGCCATGCTTCCTCCTGCTGTCCATGGACGCGTACACCTTGTAGAACCCCTCCGCCACCTTGCCGCCGCCGCCGTCGTCGGTGTCCTCGAAACAGTATGGCTTGTCCACACCTTTGAGGAGGGGGAACCCATCGAACAGCGCCGGGATTGCGTCAATGGTGGCGTAGATGTGGGTAGTGGCCGTCTTTGGGTCCTTCTCCTCGCGCCGCGGCACCGCCTCACGGCTGTCGCCATTGTCGTCGTCGTCTCAGTCCCCGCCGCTGTCGACGAAGAGGTGGGGGACGATGTTAGCTAAACTCCGGCAGCTGTAGTGAAACCTGCAACACACACACACTTGGACGCGAGAAGAACAAAGCAATCAGCCAATCACTGTTAACACATGAAGACGGGAGCTTTTTGGCGCTACGTATTACGTCTTCATGAGTACTTGCTTGCAACATTTTCTGTTTCTTTCCCTTTTATTCATACGAGATTACAGAACGTGGGCACGATGACCCAACATACGCGGACATGATCCCTTCTCAAATGGATGCCATCCCAAATGCTAGGATCGTGGCCACGCGGCGTCGTCGACGCCGCCGAGCTCCGCCGACTCTGATCTGGGGAGCGAGGCTGCCGTCTCCTCCCTTTGGATCCACGGCGACAAGAGGAGAAGGGAAAAGGGAGAAGGAGGTGCCTTCGTTTGTGGGCCGTTGCTTGACGTCGTCCGTGGCGCTGGCGTCGTAGTCGTCGTCCTCCGCCGCCTTGCCCCTTGCCTGTGCCGTGGCCTCCGCCTGCTGGAGTTGCGCGTGGAGCACCGCTGCGGTGGAGAGGGCGAGGAGCTCGCCTGCCGCCGCCCGCTCTAGCCGCTCCCTTCTCTCCTGTATCTCACCAGTCGCCGCGCGTCGCTCCCTACTCTCCCACTGGCGCCGCGCGCCGCTTCCTCTCCCGCCGGCGCCGTGCGCCGCCCCTCCTCACTCGCACCTGGAGAGAGAACAGAGGAGAGGGGAGAGAGATGAAGGGGAGTTGCGGGGAGAGGAGGAAGAAGATGATGGGTGAGAATGACATGTGGGGCCCACGTGGGCCCCACCATTTTTAAATTATTTTTTTTGGTGTAACTGACATGTGGGCCCATATTTTTATTATTTCCCAAATCAAATTGCCATGTCAGCGCCATGTCACTGTCACGTCATATGAAGACCGAGTCAAATTTACCACGTAAGTGCCACGTCAGCGAAAACCGCCATCAAAACCGCCATGGGACCTATATTGCACCGGTTTTGATAGTTGAGGGATCTGTTGTATCTGGTTTTTTGGTTGAAGGACGAAAATCGGATTCGTTGACAAGTTAAGGGACCTCAAGTGAACTTAGAAATGAACAGACTCTAGAAGATGAAAAAGCCAGTAGTATAGAGTCGGCCATTATGAAAGAGAGAGAACGCCAAGCGACTGCAGAGGAGGACTCGTTCTTGGGCTGATTTTGTTATTGGGCTGGGCTCACCAGCGGGAAAGAGATAGAATTTTTTCATATTTACATTTTTATTTTTTAATATTTACAGAAATATTATACCGGCGAAAATATTTACAAAAGTAGACCCTGCCACCCCAGGGTGACGTGAGGGACAGACAAGGTGAAAAAAACACTAAAAAAATACATTTTTGGCCGGTGAAAATTACATTTACCCCCTTGCAGCCCTTACAGAGGGCGGCAAGGGACCTCAGTGCAAAATGCGCACACCTTGCCGCCCTCTACTTGGGCGGCAGGGGACATTTTTGTAAATATTTTAGATGGTATAATATTTCTGTAAATATTAAAAAATAAAAATTTAAAAATGAAAAAAATTCGAAAGAGATCATGTGCATCGACTCAAGGATCAAACATGTGTGCTGTAGAAAATTGATCTAACGGTTCTCCTATTTGAAGTGACGTAGCTGCACCAGGAAGCATGAAAATATTAGATATCTTAAACGTGCTAGATTCGCCGTGAGCTCAGCCAATCCACGCCATCGAATTTTGCAGAAAACCCCTCGTCTTTTCGGTATTTCGGATTAGGTTAGGTTCAGCTGATCAGAGCCGTTCTTTCCCACGCGTGTACGAAATCTAGCCGTTCATTCTCTATGTACGGCCTTTCCTGGTCGTGGAATCGGTGGGCGGTGTGCGCTCCCCACGCCGCCTCCTCGATCCCCTCTCTCCCCTGTCTCCCCGATCCCCTTTCTCTCTCCCTTCTCCGGCGCCGCTTTCCTCGCCGCCGTCCCCTTCCGGTGCGCCGCTCCCCCTCCCCTACATCCCGACCTCCACCTCCACCGCCCTGCCGCCTCCTCGGCGAAGGAGCACAGACCCTAGCGACCTTCCAATTCGTCGCCGCCGCCCGACTCGCCGCGTCTCCACGCCGACATCGAGGTAAGAGCTCCCCCCCTTCTCCGGCGAGACGTGTCTTCTATGATTCTCCCCCCATTGTCGTCGCCGATTGGCCGGCGATGGATTACTGGCTCGTCTTCTTCCGGGGCGCCGGGGACAACATCTTCGACGCCATCGCCGTCGCGGCGTCCGACCACCCCGCCGCGCTCAGGTCGAGGCGGGACGCCATCGCCCAGCGCTTCTACACGGCGTACCGTTGGCGGTGCCTCCCACGGGGGGCACCGCCACCGAGGCACCGCCGCCGCAGCTGCTCCACCCCGAGGGCGCCGCTAGCGTCCCTAGCATCTGTAGCTCCGACCGCGCCAATGTCATCGCCGACGACGGCGGCGTCCCTTGCCATGAGGACCCCGTCGCCGCCGAGACCGAGCGCATCAAGGCCGTCCTCCTCAACGACCAAGAAAAGGTCATCCTCCTCTCTTTCTCCCTCCTCCACGCCGCCTCTACCTCCGCCGCCTACTGAATTTGTTCCGCCATGTTGTTGCAGTCGGAGGCGACGTTGCTCGAGCTGCTCCGGCGTCTGCAGCAGCTGGAGCTCACGGTGGACACCTTGACGGTGAGGCGACCGCTGCCGCATCCATTGATCGATTCGTCCATGCCAAACCAGCTCATGTGTTGACTAGGTGTTCATGCTGATTCGTCTTGCAGGTTACTGAGATTGGGAAAGCGGTGAGCAGCTACCGGAAGCACAACTCCAAGCAGATTCGTCACCTTGTTCAATTGCTCATCGAGTATGGCCATGTGTTCCATCTACTCTTGGATTGTTTATATTCAAATCAAATTTGTTTTCTTAGCCAGCTGCATTCCTTGACATGTTTGTTGTGAATCACAGAGGTTGGAAGCGCATACTCGATGAGTGGATGAGCAGCTGAGACGCCATTGTAGGTAGGAAGCAAGCAAGAAAACTTAATCGTTTCAAGTTTCAACCTCTGTATCATGATTTAGTAGAGAATTAAGCATTCTGCAATGATATGATCTACAGATCATACTCCTCAGTCCATGCATCCCTCCAGCTTGGAGCAGCCGTACATGCACTAATTGAATTGTTATTATTATAGAGAGCAATCTTCTATTGGGTCATAACTTCTTGCTTGCGTTCCTGCATGAGTGAAGCTAAAATGGACTCTTGCATTGATGCAAATATTATCTTTAGCTGACCTTCCATTTTCCATCAGTTTTGAATGCAGTCTTTAGCTGACCTTTCATGTTCCATCAGTTTCCAGTTGTGTTATCGTGCTCTGTCAACCATTTCCATCTATTTATTTCTTCTTTTCGGACATACAAGTATGAAGCATTTTCTGTGTAAACATAGTCATGTTTCGTACATACGTCTTACTGAAATGTAAATGTACTAGATTATATGTGAAATTATAGATTGGGTGGTTGACAACAACCAAAGAATTGGTTGTTGCCCTTATGTCCTAATGAAATAACAAGCTACTAAAGTTACAGTATGTTTGAGGTTGGTAAGTCCAAACAACTAACAGTATTGATCTTTCGAAAGGATAGCTACACAACTATCTAGATAGTCTGAACATGGAATGGAATTGTTTCAGTGCAGGATGCCAACAATGATGTGGCTGTAGACTAGTGATGTACAATCTGTTTAGACGGATATGCTTAGTTCAGTGGTGGCATTTTGTTTTTACTTTTTTATTTTTGGGTTGACCTCCAGTCACCGATGAGCTGTGGTAGATTCAATTTAATCGCCATGACTTGTTTCCTTATCTTTTCTTTTTTAAGAAATTTAATCTTACACATTCTTGTGGTGCAGTGCATTGGATGGAATTGTTACTTTGTGGCAAGTGCAGCCAAAAGGGTAGGCCTCATATTATTCTGATTTCTTATCATACTGTATTTTAAGTTGTTAATGACTAATTTTGCTGCTAGGCAATGTTTTTACTCCATGGTTATATTGACATGAGGCCTGAAAGTTCTTTCATGTGATTGGTATTGGAAATGTGGACTTAATCTTTGTCTATGAAGCACATATTGTGAAAGCATTCTTAAAACCCCGCCTTAGCACTTATGTATTCTTTTTATCTCACAAAAAAGCCAAGTTAATTGGTCAATCCTTTCACTTTTCCTTTTTTTCATTGCCTCGTGAACCACATATTGTGAAAGCATAATTAAAAACCCATCTTAGCACCTATGTATTTTTGTTACCTCACACAAAAGCCAAGTTAATTGGTAAATCCTCTCACTTTACCTTTTTTGCATTGCTTCGCCTGATGCAACTTCACAATGCTGAGCTATTAAACCCAACAACTTATGCAACATAAGTGGCTGTAAAAGAATATGCCAACGCTTTCTACCAAGTGACATTTTTAACACTGGTACGACCAAATCCCCCAAACAGCTCTTCCAAATGTGTCAATGAACAGTTGGCTTATGAATCTAAATAAATTGTAATCCCTAACTTAAACATAGTATGGCGTATGGACATTGAAGTCATGACTTCATACACTACTGTTGACACTAAATGACTTCTTTCTTCCTGAATCTCATAGGACATTTAGCAAAAAATATCTTATGTGAAAATATAAAATAGTAATTCATGTAGCCGTAAGAAACTATAAAGTGTGCAATCTTACCACAACCGCATCTTTTTGTCCATTGATTTTAAGCATGATTTTAAAATTACATATATTTTACTTGCAGACCAGCCATCTCCTTGCTTAGCACAACAGATTGCTTTTCTCCTAAGCATAGGTGGCCTGAAGATGTAGCTTGGCATCCAGATGGTGAATTAATTTTTGCAATGTACAGTGCTGATAACGGCGACTCTCAAGTTTCACTGATGAATCATAGCATATCAGGACAAGTAAGAACTCTGCTAGAAGTAGCACACTTCTTCACATCCATTGCAAGGTTTTCTCCATGTGTCGAGAATGCTCATTAGTTGTTATAATCCAATTAAATTGGTTCCACCGACAGTATAGTTGCATGAAGTACTATCAGCTTAGCTTAACTTGACTGTGCAAATTGATCAAGAAAATATAACGACACCTGAATGTTTTTTCCTGGTGGCATTCTGTCTGCAAATTTGATTCTAGATATCTAATCATCTTAAATCTGGCTACCACATGATAGAAATAAGAGATGTAGTCTTTTAAGTTATTCATGTAATCATGCTCAGAGCTTCACCTCTTAGCATGTAACTTATTGCCTGCTAATTTGTACTGTTTTTTGTGCTTGATCCTATCACGATTGACTGCTGATACTGTCTTAATTGAATTAACAGCCACATCATAGTAAATCTTTCTAAATGATCACACAAAAGTCATAAATTATTTAACTATCTTGTGCTATTTTCCCCTGGGAAAGGATGCATCAAGGGCTACTGTAATGTGTTCATGTCATTTGAAATGCTGAGGAATCCATCCTAATTTTTTTTATGGTACCATTTTCTTAAGAGTAACATATGACTCTGTATTGGATCATTACTAAAAGGTGTTTCTTTAACTAATCCTCTGAAACAGAAGAAAGTTAGTTTTCTACCAGTGAAGCCTCATACCAAGGAAATTATTAACAACATTAATTTTATGCCATGGTCTGATGTATGCTTTGTGACTGGTGGAAGTGACCATGCTGTCAACAAAAAGATGATTCATGGAACCACACAAAAGTGCACAAGGATTTGCATTCTTCTGCTGTCATGGGTGTTGCTGGATTACAGCAAAAAAAAATGCAATATTATCAGTTGGCAGTGACAAGAGGATTATACCATTTGATCTGGCAGCTAGAAGGGCAGGGTCCAAGATTGTATTACAGATCCATGCGATTTCAACTTGTTATGATTGTAGTCTTATAAGGTTGTTTTCCTTCTTTGTTCCATACCTACTCTGCTAAAAAAAGAAGGCTAGCATGACGGTCACATTCTAATAGTCGACGGCTTAGTTTTCTGTAGAGGACGTGGCAAAACGCATCTGGCCATCTGGTGTGGCTAACGGCTCGCTATTCATAACCTAAATAAATGATTCTCTGATCTTGCGTTTGCCTATTTCCTGTGAGTTCGTGGCTGCGCGGCGTAGCGCGCGTAATCATTCTAGTAGTATTAACGACAATGGGGATCAATTGTAGAGTACTCCACTTGAAAAGTGGTGCAAGTACGTAGTTGAATGTTCAACTTCTCGCTAGTCCTTACACGAAGACTAGAGTAACGGTCATACGCAAATAGTTTGGCCTAAAATTGACATTTGTATATTTTGATGCTGGGGTCACTAACACTTTTGACTCTTTTGACAGCACAGGAGATATTCTTGTAATACCGGTTCTCAATGAAAAGTCAGCTAGACTCTTCAAAAGTCAACGGGGTTGCTCGACTATTCTATAGCCACTGCTGCAGGCGGCACTAGTTGACGACTACTGCTATATGCTTGGAGCTGTTGTCAACAGCCACAAGGCCCACAACCGTAGCGGTTGTCATAAAGCCCATGGAGCAGGTGCACGGTCCGGTGAGTTTGTGTTGATCCAGCTGGCCAGGACCTCACTTCGGATTTCTCTGATGAGGTCTTGTCAATTTCGGCGGTGCGGGCTCACCCCATCCTAGTGGAGCTGCCTCTCCCCTCTCCGGTGCAGACTCTCTCCTCTCTTCGATGGCGCTGACAACAGAACTAGAGCGAGTTGTCCTCTCTCCTCCTCCGAGCGACGTGTGTGGATTGGGAGGCGCAGGTGCAGATTGGAGCGTCGCAGCATGGATCAAGGCGGCACAGCGAGCGCTCTCCACTCGACAGCGTCTAGAGCTCCGATCTGCCGACGGGTTGAGTAGCAGCAGCGTCCGATCGAGGAGGCCATTACCGCCTCGCCGTGCTCCTTAGCAATGCTACCGGTGCGACTCCGGCGGCAGGGCGGGGTGGGGTTGGCAATGAGGATGGCGGATTGAGCGCAACCTCCCGATGACACAAACACTCTTCCTGGCAGAGAGCGGAGAAGGAGAAAAAGGCGAGCCATCATAGGGAATTTTCGCAGGGAGATGACCTTGTCGATGTGTGAGGTTCCTAAGTGGTGAGCAAGGGATATGCACTTTTCATTCGAAACACGTAGTTATACTATTTTCATTCGAACACTTGGTTATATTATTTTTCATTACTAGTCTAGAGCCCGTATGTTGCAGTGGAAAACGATTTGAGTTTATAGCTCACTAAATCAATTAATAAGCACTTATTTAATCTAAGTTATACTATGATTATTTTATTGAATAAGTAGGTGGTTTTAAAATCTAGGGAGCCAATAATGAAATGTGAAAGGACTCGTTGAAAAGTGATACAATATTATAGTAGGGTTCAGATGTTAGTGTTAGGGGTAGTGTGAGAATGAACACCACTGGTGGTGCTGGTTCTCTACACAACCTGTAGGTGTCGATTGTGGCATCATAGGTACCAGCAAAAATGTAGAACCGGCATCTTTAAGGCATCCAGGACATCCCCGAGATCATTATTGGTGCCTGTTCAAGAACCAGTACCAATGACCCAAGTCATTGGTACTGATCAATTGTTGTCGGTCCCAAAACCAGTACTTATGACCTTTCCTACAATAGTGACCACTACTAATAAGTTGTATAAACAAAATACTACTAGTCCACCATTTCATACACTAGAAGTCCAGAACAATCTATATGTCCTAGTAAGTCCTGCGCAAAATACCACTGTTGAGTTCAATCGTTCTAGACAAATAAATTGGGAAAATCTGTCACCAATGTGTTGCAGACGGCTACTGTCCATCATCCTTCACATATATCTTCCTGCACTTTTCAGGACATTATATTTTTCGTCCGGAGAATTGTAATTCTTTCTCAAAAATTTCATCACTTTCAGACATTCAGTACTAATTCCAGTTGGGGATTCTTCAATATTCGGCATTCTTTCCGGACACAACCAGGAAGCAACCGAATTCAGTAATGAATCACAAACCAGTGAAGCCATGTATCCTGCTGCATGTTGGGGTGGCAACGCCCATGAGTTCTTTCACAATCCCAGTTAGCCCTCACATAGTCATATATTTAGTTCAAAATAAATAAAAATTTAGCACACCCTATTTTAAGCCTAGCCTTTTAATTTTGTAGGCTAGTTAAGCTCTTTACCACCCTTAGCTACGCGATAGCGATCGGGTGTTGGCCTTGGGACTGTACCTCTCGGGCACAGTCCCGGGTGTTGGCTATCCACACCGTAATTTTTGTGATGTTGAAAGCTGACATAGTATTACTGTATAAGTTTCCCATTATCTATACGATGTTATTACTATTTTTATAAGCAACAATGGGTATGTTCAGTTGCTGGTTCGTGGCTGCAGCGCAGCCAGCACCAACAGTGACGCACGCATGCGGCGCAACTGCAGCTGTAGACGATGCAACAGCAGGCTTGCCGAACAGGCCAAATGAAGTTTGACAAAATTTACTACATAATACTCGGTTTGTGATCTTTACTATTGGACAGCTAAAAAAATATAATATGGCATGAGATACCAAAAACCTGGTAATTTATTGATGGTATAAAACTATTATTTTATTATTTTTAACTAAATAGCAAGAGAAACATTTAGAAAATATGGGTTTGCCCCTGTTCAATAGCTTGTTTTGGACAGGATTTTGGGAGAGTCAATGTGTCTTTTTCATGTGGTCCATCTTTCTATTTGGCTCAAATATAATAAACTACTTGTGGATACTCCGTATGTTGTAGCGGAAAATTTAAAAATACTTCAAAGAAAACTTGAAGAAAACAATTTATAAATCGTGTACACGTAATATCTATAAATGGACACTATTTGTTCTATAATAGTTGATGTGAAATTGTAATTCTACATGACACTTAGATGGTTATGTATCAAGCATAAGAGGGATCCAATATCTATTACTCCCTTCGTTCCATATTGTAAGACTTTTTGGTCTTACATAGATTCATCCATTGATAAATGCATATGTTTTATATGTGTCTAGATTTATTACCATCTATATAAATGTGAGTAATGCTAAAAAGTTTTACATTGTAAAACGGAGTTAGTAGTTTTCTATGCACATTAAGCTTTATGTCAATAACTACATTTTGTGGGTTATAAATGCATGAGAGGGATCAAAGGCTATTTTTAGATGATGTGACTTAATGCATATAAAACTTTTGGTCCTAACTATAGAGGATTATAGATTGGATGCAGTATCTCTCAGACTTGGGAAATTGCCAGTTTAGAGGCCGGTATTCTGTAGCAACATTTTGCCACGAAGGTTATACTTAAAAACATAATGTACTAACCATTAAAAAGGAGAGGACATCAGAAACACGCTAGATATATATTTAGGTGGTGTTTGGATTCAGGGACTTAACTTTAGTCCCTATATTTATATACTAATTTAGAGTATTAAATTTAGACTACTTACAAAACTAATTATATAAATGAAAGCTAATTCGCGAGACAAATTTTTTAAGCCTAATTAATCCATAATTATAGAATGTTTACTGTAGCATCACATAGGCTAATCATGGATTAATTAGGCTCAATAGATTCGTGTCGCGAATTAGTCCAAGATTATGGATGGGTTTTTATTAATAGTCTACATTTAATATTTATAATTAGTGTCCAAATATCCGATGTGATAGGAACTTAAAGTTTTAGTCCCATCTAAACAGTTCTTAGTCTTTATTTACCTTGTAAAGTGAGGAGATTAAGATTTTTCCTACCCTACTATTTATATCAGAACAGATACCTACTGACCAGTAAAATAGCTGAGAACAATGCATATTTCCATTCCTCCCAAAGATAATTCAGCTGATGATATTTCCATATCTCAGAGTCTGGTAGGACGTCCTGTGAACAAATTGGAGTGCCAGCTCCAAAAACATGAACATCCATCCTTCGTCGGCATTCCAAAACATCTATTTCTCCTGCCTTCTGCCTGCCGGTCTACACACGGCAATGCAGAGAGCAACGCAAAACGCCAGCACAGTCGCAGTACAAATAAAGCTTTAGCCTTCTCTCTATTAGCACAGCACACTGCTACTAGCTCCATCACAGCTAAGCTAAGCTAAGCCTACGTACGGTGGTCATGGCGTCCAAGACCATGGTGGTGCTGTTCGTCGTGGCGGCGTCTCTCCTCCTGCTCTCGCAGGACGTGGCGTTTGCCGCCAGAGAGCTCGCTGATGCCAGTGGTACGTTTGCTTTCTTTTTTTGTTATGGGGGTGTACATGTTTGGCTAACGCACTAGCTATCTAATCACGATTTTGCTATACATCCGTCGATAAAAAAAACTATCGATCGGATAGTCTAGTATACAAGAGTTACTACTAGATGTTTTTTTAAAAGAGGATTTAGGTTGTGTTCGGGAGGCGGAGTTGGCTGCACGAAAAACGGAGCAATCCATTAGTACGTGGTTAATTAAGTACTCCCTCCGTTTCAGGTTATAAGATGTATTGACTTTATTCAAAGTCAATAAACACCTCTTACAGAAAGTCAAGCTGCTTTAAGTTTGACAAAACTTATAGAAAAATAATAATAATATTTTTGACCAAGATAAGTTTATTATAAAAATATTTAATTATTATTTTAATAAAACTGATTTGGTAATATAGATATTACTATATTTGTCTATAAACTTAGTCAAACTTGAAGCAGTTTGACTCTGACTAAAGTCAAAACATCTTGTAACCTGAAATAGAGGGAGTATTAGCTAAATTTATTTTGAAAAATAGATCAATATGATTTTAAAACAACTCTTGTATAGAAAATATTTAAAAAAACGCACCATTTAATACTTTGAAAAGCGTGTGCGTGAAAAAAACGAGAGTAGTGCGTCGGGAAATTCAAGTGCCGAACTCAGCCTTAGTTATCATAAAAGAATATGTTTTGTGGTTCTGAAATTGAGTTGATAAACAGGCGAGGCGAGTAAGGGAGGCGATAAGAAGGACGACATCAGCATCTCCATTGGAGTGACCGTAGGCGCCACGCCTGTAGTGACCATAAACACCAAGCCCAAACACCATGGGAAGACGCCGAGCTATGGCCACTCTCACCCATGACGCTCTCTCAGCTATTGACACTACAATGACTCTGTTCAATACAGTGATGATTCGATGTTAATTTATATTTAACAGAATGTGCTCTACGTGAAGAATATATATGTGTAAATCATCATGTCTCTCACGCTATATAAAAGTTTCATTTAGTATGTGTAAACAAAACTGTTTCCCGTATCAAATTGAAAATCAGATGAACGGTCAGTCTCCATGAAGACGAATTCTCACGAGTATTGCTTGATGCTACGTTCTTTCCTCGGGGTTCCAACTCCTCGTCCTCGTTTTCCGCGTGCACGTTTTTCAAACTACTAAACGGTGTGTTTTTTTCAAAAAAGTTTCTATATAAAAGTTGCTTAAAAAATCATATTAATCTATTTTTTTTAAAAAAATAGCTAATACTTAATTAATCACGTGTTAATACGAACATAGTTTTTCGTGCAAACTCCAAGGAATCATATACTCGAAAGTAAAGAGACAAAAATAGTTATAGGTGTAGCATTCTTTCGTTCATTCTCTTCTTATCACTAGTGTATAATTTCTCTTCTCCTTCGCTCTATCTATTTTTTTTGAAGGAAACCTTCGCTCTGTTTATGTCATATAGCCATACGCACTTCCTAGTTCCTAATTAGTAAGTGGGCCATCGGTGAGCAAGCTGGGCTAGTCTTATTCGGCCCACGGTTTCCCAGCACTCCCATTGACCCTCACTGCACGATAATCAAAACTCCACCAAAACCCAGGGGAACAAATTTAGGAAAAGAGTACATATTATATATGCTTGTGATAGTATACATATTGTTTCATTAAAAATCTTGATAAATAATCATCCAAGTGAAAAGCGTATGATCCATCCAATTAATCATCTTAATTTTATAAATTGAATTTAGGTATTTTGATCTTTCATGTCAAGTTTCAAATGAATTACTGAAACTCTTCCTTTAAATTTTTCATTTCTCTAAACCTCATAATTCCGGTTTCTCCCACAGTATATCATATCGAAAGAAAGATGTTGTCCACCGCAGCTCCCTACCACATTAGGGCATCTAGTGTGCCAGAGTCATTTAGCAACTCTAATTTCCTAACGTTTCTTGACGTAGCCATAAGGTTCATTTTTTTAATTTTTTTACAAGGATTATGTTTTTAAAACATTATTTACAAATGTTTATATGAAAAAAAGAGCATCACCAATAGTCCTCACAAATTTTGAGGGATTTTAGTTAAAAAAACCACTTCAACAGATCACCTACTCCTTAACATAATTTTTGGAATTCCCTCCCTTGAAAGATTCGCTCGGTTGATATGCGGGAGAGTGTGCTCCCCTAACCCACTCCCAATATTGCCACTCCCACGTTCCTCCTCTCCTTGCCAAGATCCTCCCGCGTGTTAGATAGAGGAAAACGGGAGAATTTTATTAGTACTTTAACAAAAAAAGGCACAAATTTAGGATTTAGGGATAAAAATTAGGATTTCTATTAGAGAAATCAGTTTTTTAATTTTCTATTTTCAGTTTAGGGGAAAAAAATTGGGGAGATTATATGTGATCTCTTAATAAGAGGTCCTACTCGAATTCCTTCGAACATGGGCCGGGCCCAGGCGGGCCAAGCTTTTCCCAGCTGTCCGGGCTGGCGGTGACTTCTACTTGGCCCATGCAATGTTTGGTTGGTTTCAGCCCACAACAGCAGAACAACTCACCCGTGCCCTCCACCAGATCCACCACCCCTTTTTTTTTCTCTCTCTTCCCCCAAAATCCCCCACATCGTCGGCGGCGTTCGCCGCAATCCCTCCTGCGCCGCCGCGGCGACCTCCTCCCTCCCCTCGCCGTCGTCTCCAACGCGGGCGCCCGAATCGAGATTGGGGTTTTGATGACGGGGAATTGATCTCGATCGTTGTCGGAGCCGGGGGAGATGCCGTGCTGCAGCGCGGTGCTGAGCGCGGCGGCGGCGGCGGCCGCGGCAAGCCGCACGCCGCCGTGGCTGCACCGCCTCCACGCCAAAGGGGGCCTGTCTTTCCCCTCCAACCTCCACATCGACGACCTCCTCTACGGCCAGCACCACGCCCTACCCCATCCTCCGCCGCCGCCGCCGCCGCCGCAGCCTGCGAAGGAGCCACCGCCGCCTACCAAGCCGAAGCATCCGAAGCCCAAGCAGCAGCAGCATCCACCGCCGCCGCCGCCGCAGAAGCCACCGCAAGGTAGCACCAATCTCTCCCTACCAAACCCTAGCGGAAGCGGAAGCGGCAACGGCAACCCACCACCATCGCCACAGCTGCAGCTCTCCACCGTCATCGCCGACGTCTTCGTCACCCCCTCCTCCGCTCCTCCGCTCATCGCGCCGATCAAGGCCTTCCGCAAGCAGAACCACCCGCGCCCTAGGCCCGACAAGGCCTCCCGCCCCAGCAAGGAGAACAAGGACAAGGCCTCCAAGGTCAAGGTCAAGAAGCGCCGCCGCTCCGACCGCGCCGCCGATGGCGACGGCGAGAGGTGTAGCAGGACCGAGGTCACCGTCATCGACACCAGCACCGATGGGTGGAAGGCGGCGAAGCTGCTCCTCCGGAGAGGCGCCGTCTGGAAGGTGAGGGACAAGGCCTCCGGGGTCTCTGAACCTGAGGATCCCACCAAGATGAAGAGGAGGGCCGGCTTGGTCTCCAAGATTCAGAGGGACAGGGAGAAGCAGAAGCAGAAGGAGAAAGAAGCAACCTCATCGGTGCGTGCTCTTTGTGCCCTGGCCTGCAGTTTTATGTCTCTACTGCTTAATATGCATGTTCTTGGATCACAAAATCTCACATCTAGCTATTTGATTCTTTGCTTGTGGAATGCTTGTTCTTTAACCGGAATGTAGCATATCATGTATCCCGTGATAACAGCTAATAGGTGCATAGATCACATTTGTTTTGTTTAAGTTCGCAAATTTTATTTTGTTCTTGCATGTATTCAGGAGTAGCTTTTTATTGACTTCTTGAACTAAATTATGATTCTATCGGAACGAAGAACGGTGAATTTGGTCAGTGCAGATTGGCATTGGATGTTTTGTTGCCATTGTGTGTGGTTGTGTTGCTATACACAACCAGGCACATTTAAGCCTGCACTCTGCATAAAAGTGCGTGTGTAGATAGAAACAGATTCCAGAAGTTCCTTTTTCTTGGGTTATGTGTTATATGTATGGAAAAAAAAAACATATATTTTGTAGTGTGGTAAGTTATTATCCTACTTCCGCAGCCCTACCTGTGTTTCTTTGTGTTTTTGGTGTTGGAAATATACCAGTAATGCATGGTGCTTGCTGAGGAATGGAAAGAGGATTTCAAACTTGGATGATTTGAAGCACAATTATTTGCTATTTCTGATATTGGAATTAAGTAATATTCCTTGAATGGTTTGTCCATGCAAGAATAGGTCAGCTTGCATTACAGAGTCTAGTATCACTTATGTTGTTAGTTCAACTTGATCTTTTGGTTTCAGCATGAGCATGAACACAAATCACACGTGCACACTTGTGTAATCTAGTTTGCGGGTGCAGTACGCTGTAATTTCTAAGGGAATGTAGGAACAAGGGTATTTGCTGCATTGCTCTGTAGTTTCTAAGGGAAAGTAATTGTTTATTGTTATGTCCAAGGACGGAACGGAACATAATCGTTGCAGTTTTCACATGGGAATATTCACCCTCTGGTTGCAAAGGAGTGTCACTCTAAGTTAAACCTTTAAAGTTTGGTTGTCGTTAATATCAATGAATTTGCAATGAACATCTTTGTAGTTATTTGTGGTAAAATGTTCCTCTCTTTATAGAATAGTTAACACTGCACATGTAAAAGTGATATGTGTACATGTTCATCAGAAGCAATACTCCCACCATTTCAGAATGTAAGATGTATCAGTATCAGAATGTAATATATTTGTTCCAGTGATAGTCGAACTTGAAGAAGGTTGACTTAGGACAAAAACCAAAACATCTTCGATTCTGGAATGGAGGTAGTATTCATAATATTGGAAATCCATTATGTTTGATATGCACGATAATATAGATATTGGTAGTCCAGTATAAGTTATATAGATGGTGTCACTAGCTAGAATAATAATAGCATCATTGGAAGCATTTTAACTATAGCAACTTCAGGGGATGGAATGGTGGATAATGAATACAAGCTAGTGTGTATGCCTAGTATATTTTTCACTAATTCTTTGTATTATGTGTTTTTATTCTAGGGAAACATTCATGCTAGTAGTGGAGATGGGATGAAAGAGCCTGATGGTCCTATTCAAGCACTGAAAAGGTAAACGTTATTGCAGGCTTGCAGCCCAAAAGTGAAGTATCGATGTCTTTACTGAGGTGCTAAAGCTATTTTCTTTTACATGCATTAACATTGCAGATCTAGAGGTCCTGAGCCAGAACCAGAAATTATAGCGCTTCTTCATTGAAAAACTACAGATAGAGGCTAGAAGAATGGATTACAGTAGACTTCCCCAACTTAAGAGGGAATTGAAGCCAATAATCGCATCTTGACAACATTGTCGCGTTGCTTCAAAATGAAAAAAAAAATCCAGTTCGTCTTACCCTGTACATCTGTTGGTGTTTCTGATTGATGCCTGTTAGATATTCCAATTGTTGATATCTGGTCTTTTTTTTTTAGCGTATCATGTTTTAAAATGACACCTTGCTAGGTCTTCTAAAAATGTTTTTGCTGTTGGTGGGGGATTGATTCATTTAGTTTGTTTGACTCCTCATGCACTAAACTAAGATGGGTAGTGTAAATGTGATATTTATGTTGGTAGCCTAGTTGCTGCATAATTTAGTTTCCACTGTTGGCATTTGGGTAACTGTTTCGTGTAAGGATGGAGATTCATCCAAATGGTAAAGGTTGAAATGCTATTGCTGTGAGATCTGTGCATATTTGTAGTAATCATGCTGGCGTATCTCTTTAGTTGATCTTTGCAAATTTTAGTTTTGCCTATGTTGTCGGTCAACGGGCTGTCCTCTTTAGTTGTAAATACTCCCAACTAGCATGAGTCACAATTCTTTCGGCCTGTTTGGCACAGCTCCATCTCTACTAGAGTTGAAGCTTAGCCAAACAGTTTTAGTTTCAAACTCCTGGAACTAAGTTGGAGCTCTATCAAAGAGGCCCTAACTTGCAAACATTGAATCCACTGGATTCAACCCTGCTCTGCAAAGCAAAGGTTCCTTATGGAATAGATCCAGATATTGCAGGATGGATTGATGTGAATCTGCAGGATAGATTGATGAGCTAGCAAGTTTTATTCACAAGGAACTGAAAAGGACAGGTCCTTGCCACACTTCTATAGAGCAACTGAAATACTGAATGAAATGCCAAGTGGAAGGGATAGTACCAACAAAGGAAGCACATTTTGGAAATCACTGCAATAGGAAAACGGAGGAATAAAATAGAAATATACTTGTAAAAAAAGAGGATTGAAAATTAAAGGAAAAATATTAGATATGTTGTTTAGATCACAGGAATGAAGTAAAACAAAACATTGCATCTAACTATGCATAATGTATTTTATATGCTCAATATGAATGTGATTGTTTATTTGGAGGTCCATACATTGATTTGCCTTAGACTTCTCAATTGATGTCAAATTTCCTATGGAATTATTATGAAATCAATTGCAGAATAAATAAATAAATAAATGAAATCATATAGGAATTGAAATCCTCCAATTTTCCAACAAAAACCCCCAGTCCAAAGGTGCCCTGATTTAATTTTTAGATCAAGGTTGGCCCGTTCATTGCACAGGCGTTGAACACTTTATCACATTCTGGATACATCCACGAGCACACTGTCGGCCTAGGAAGATCAAATAAGCAACACACTCACTTGCCCTAGCCAACAAATAAGCCACCTCATTTGCACTAAGGTTTACAAGAAGAAAAGAAATCGAAACAAAGTTAGTTACTAAATACTTTTTCCATATTTTAATGTATGACGCCGTTGATTTTTTTTTCAACGTTTGACCATTCGTTTTATTCAATTTTTTTTGCAAATATAAAAATATTTATGTAATGCTTAAAGAACATTTGATGATAAATCAAGTCACAATAAAATAAATGATAACTACATAAATTTTTTGAATAAGACGAATGGTCATACATTGGTTAAAAAGTCAACGGCGTTATACATTAAAATATGGAGGGAATACTTGATATCAGCCACAAAAGGACATGTCGTGGGTCAGTTTCTTCAAGAACTATTCACGTGTCGGGTTAGCATCAAGCAATCGGACTACAAAATCACATTGTAAAAACTTCCATCGAGTGCAAAGATCACCTCACACATCGAAGAGCGTGCTTCTGCTATCTCTGGTATAGAGATGCTTTAAAAAGACTGCTGGCATCCCAACAGACATCTTCCCATTTGTTTAATTAGTGTGGGGCAGATAAACACGTAGTCAGTGATTCTGTATAAATCTATAATATCAGATAGAAGATACTCTAGATCAATTTATTGAAAATTCTCTTCTCTATATAGATAGGTATCTGTGTGGATAGAGATAAAGATATGGGTCCCTATAAATCAAAAAGTGCATCTTTTGACAGCTACTACTATTTCTTAGACTTTTTCAAGGAAAGATCATTTTTTTCGATTTTGACTGAATTGGTCGGAGCATAGACGAGCGAGCAGACGTCAGAAAAGAGGTCAGATCGTCATAGAGCAGTCGACTATACTTAGTATAAGACTGCTGGCCTGAGAGAAGGCAGTCTCTCTCAGGAAACATGGCCCATAGTTTGCTTGCTTATTGGTCAGATGACTGAAATTTTGTCTTGGCAGTCCATGTTGTGGACCGTATGATGCAGATCCAATGGTTAGAAATAAAAATAAACCTAGCATTCTTCCCTTCCAACAAAAGTAGCAAGTGCTCGTTGAAGCCGTTACAGGATCATTGAATGCTTTAATGGGCCTGCAGCACAAAAGGCTGAAAAATCAAATTCCTAACACACGTCTTTGTTTTCGGCCTTCTATATCTCTGTGCTCTGTAGCAGCTTAGGCCTGGTTAAGTTAACTAAAACTTTTACCAAAAAACATTACATCGAATCTTTGAACACATATATAGAGCATTAAATATAGATTAAAAACACTAAATGCACAATTAGGGAGAAATCACGAAACGAATCTTTTAAACCTAATTAGTTTGTGATTAGTCATAAGTGCTACAGTAACCCACATGTACTAATGACGGATTCATTAGGCTCAAAGGATTTGTCTCGCGATTTCCAGGCGAGTTATGAAATTAGGTTTTTAATTCGTGTCCAAAAACCCCCTTCCGACACATCCGGTCAAACATCCGATATGACACCCAAAAATTTTCTTTTTACGAATTAAACATGCCCTTATATTTAGGCTTTTTGTGTAGGGGTGTTTGTTAGTTCACACGCAACTTCTTGTCCTGCTCATCAAACCAAAAACAAAGAAAATGGGAGGGCAAGGAAACAAGAAACAAACCTCATCAACGTCGAAGGTGCATCACGACATGCAAATTCAAAAGAGGGATTGTGCTGCATATTGCACAAACAAATCCACCAACAACTATGAATTTTTTTATTCACAAATAAACTAGGATGCATGTAAAAAAATGCACATCTATATACACAAAAACGCACATCTACATGCATGTCATTTCCACCGGTCTCTGCCTCAAACACTAAGAGATCTACATGCACACATGCACAATGTTATCCCTTCTCTGCTGAATTCAGAGTCCAAACAAAGGATCAGAGTTATAAAACCACTCTCTTACACAAAAAGTCACACTTTCGAAGATACAAGTACAAAAAAAGATTTCCTCTTCTGTGGCGAACCAAAGACCTTCTCCCAAAAATTGAGCTATAGAGTCCAGCAAAAAAATAAATAAAAATGAAAACATCCTTTGTAAACAAATGTGGCTTCTTTCGTGACAAGCATACATAGACACACAATAACATAAACATGCAAGCCAGATTTTTTCGTTGAGAACATAGATGTCAAAATAGAAATTCAGTCATGAGTATAGGATCGAATTACAATAACTAAGCCAACCAGAGGGGGGGGGGGGTGAATGGTTGGCATACCCAAAAACCGAAAACTTTTAGTGGAAATACAAGTTACCCTCGAATTCGACGGAGATCGGTCTGACCAAGATTGATCTGCCGGTCTGACCGTGCCTGTGTCGTCGGTCTGACCGGTATAGATTAACCAGTCTGACAGCCGAGATCAGCTGCTGCTTGCTATCCCCGCCGCCGGTCTGACCGCCTGTATGCCACCGGTCTGACTGCCGCTTGCCACCGGTATATCGCCGGTTAGACCGCCGAAACCCGGTAAAACACAAATCGAAGAACTCTTAAAGTGGATGACGACTTTATTGATTCTCTCTGTGTTTACAAAGTGCACCAACAGCACTCCTTACAAAAATCTCGACGAAACTCGAAACCCTAACTAAACTAGCAACTCAATTGCTCTCAAAGCGATGCCGGGAAGCCTCACGCTCCCCCTCTATTTATACCCAAGGTAGGCAGCCTAAAGCCACGAACCAAACAAATACTAGAAGTCCTAAACACCTTAGGAAACCATCTAGTACAAGAAATAAACTTTACATAACCAATCATACCAAATTTGGACTCCTTCCAAATTCGACTCGGCATCCCATACGCACACAATACCTCCATCGTATGCCAAATGGAATCTTCATTAACCACGTGCATCAACTTTAGCCTCAGTATCCCACATGATATCTGACCATCACGGACATTGCCTTACCACCAAGTCGACTCCTGGTCCATCACCGCAAATACTCTCCCGAGGCATCGAGTCACCTACACATGAAACAAAAAAAAGAAACCATATTCCAAGACCAAGCTATCTCCAACTTGACTCATTAGTAGCAAACAACAGTATTATATACGTATAGTATCCATCTAGAAGTCATAACCATGAAACAATCATGGATATCCAAAGAAGCAACCCTAAATCGAAACCGATACAGAGTCGGCCGGTCAGACCGCAGGCTAGCCGGTCAGACCGCTCGACACAAGCCGGTCTGACTAGCAACCACCGCCCGGTCTGACCGGTCCTGACAAAACAGCAAACCCTGTTCATCACCTGAAAATCAATTATCTCCAAAACCACTTCGACAATAATCTCCAAATATCAAAACCAATAATCACAGATGCCAATTGTTCATCACATAATAAGAATCAAAACATACGTTGATCTTACAATCTCCCCCTTGATGAAAACATTGGCAAATCCATTAAAAATGTTTTGGTGTTTGGAAAAATAAAAACAAAAGTGGAAAGCACACTTCGTACAAATGTACACATCGTGCTCAAAAATCCAAAAGAAAACTTCTCCCCCTTTTTAAAAGAAAGAAATTCCCAATTGAACATTCCCAATTGAACCAAAAACATGCTCTCCAAAAACTCTTCTTTTCTTCCCCTTTTGACAATGATTTCATCAAACATAGGAATTATGTTCATTAAAGTATAAGAGCTTAGCATACATATAGCATATCATGTCATGTGTTGCAATAAAAAGAAAATGAACCCATCTATAATATAGCAAGCATGCATTAAATTATAACCATGAACCAAAGATTTCACAATTAAGCTTGAATCAACAATCAAAATTCATGATTTCATACGATTTATAATGCAACATATTAACAAGCACATAGATTGAAAAATAAACACTAAACACATATACCTATTGCATTTATCACTCTTTCTCAAATTAGCTTTAGCACAAAACAAGAGAATTTTTTTAAACTTTTTTCTGTTGAGCCTTTTTGCTCATATTTTTCTCTTTTATTCCGGGTACGTCCTTGTCGTCAAGACTGTTTCTAGAGATTTTGCACCCATTATTTTGCTCACATTGAATACGTCCTTGTCATCAAGACTGTTTTGCACCCA